CATGGTCGGCAGTCACGTCGACCATCTGTTAGTAAACGGTCCCATATACGCAGTGAAAACAAAACAAAAATAATATAGAGATCGTTTACATAAGCCAAGATCAAGGGTATAATTTTACAATTCATATTAAAAAAAAATCTGCAGAAAAATAAATCTGAGTTTAAAGAAAACAAACGCACGTTGGAGGCTCCTCCAAATTTGTCAACAAATGTTTTGCTACCGATCCAAGTGTAGGATCGAACCCACGTAGTCCACACGAAGACAATCTCAAAAGAACCAAAGAGGGATTTGCTAGATCCTCTTTGGCTTCAAGATTAAGAAGAAAGCAAATCAATTGAATTGATTTTTAGGCCAAAAGGTGTTGCTGCCGTGGGAGAGAAAGAGAGGGGCTGCTATGTGTTTTATTTTTTAAGAGAAATCAATTCTTATTCAATTAACACACACTTTTCCTTTTTATAGTAAATCAAGTTGCCATATTCCCATATGGAATAGGCTTGGGCTCCAACCCAAACACCCCATTTTACCAAACACTCCCAATTTAATATTTTATTTTCTATCATTATCTCAATTAAAATCAATTAATATATATATTAACATTTAACAATAATGATAATATATTTAAATATGTGCGAACACATATTTAAACATAATTTCACTTATTTAATTTTTCTAACAAATTAAATAAAGGCTACGACCTCAGCAAATTTAATTGTACTGTGAAATTACCAAAATACAATTTCGCCTTAAAAGACGAAAACACCTTTTTTCTTCTTGGATCTTAAATTATCTCCTATGTGTGAGACCCATAGGCTCCTCATCATATCAGCAGTGTATAGTGTCGAGATTAACACCAATTAATCATCTCACTAATACACAGACCAAGATTGGCCCCTATCAAGGCATAATGGCCACCTGATAGATTCAGATTCAGCAAAGTAGCTACCTGTCAACGTATGGTTACTGTACAATTCATCCTTTCATTATCCGTTATCTCGACGAAACGAAGGCATAGAAATAGTGTCAACCTTCAGTTACTCTCGATATTATGTATTCAATTTCTGGACCATTGACCCGTATTATAAACTGGATAGAGCAACAACTCAATCCTACTGTGGCCACAGTTTTAGTGTCATTGCCATATACTGAATTGCGCAATGAGATAACTTTCTCCCGTACCCAAGAGTGATGAATCCTCTGTCAATCCATCATAGTCTTGATACACTCCTTGATGCAGTCAATCACCACTGTATTGACAGCTCTGAAAAGAATTGCGTTAGACTATTGTCAAACTACATCAATCGGTGCACAAGCGCTCCGGTAATCTCAAGTCTAAGGATCACATGCACCACCATTCGTTAGAGGATTTGTTCCATAGGCACTGGGGTTACCATCCATATGGAATCCTCTGGTGGGTCATTCTAGTGAACTTGCTGCGGTATATCCGCCTACAGCAAGCACCCATGTGTTGCACCAGGTTGTCACCAAACAATCTTGACAAGTGAGATCAGTCACTGCCTTTCGACAGGGTCGTTCAACACTATTATAGCCTTACCATATTATTTGTGCCCTTACTTTAGAATAACACTGGGGCTACGGACGTTTCTAGAATGGCTACCGTATGTGCTCATAGGGTTCTCACTATCAAGATTTGAAACACTTGATACCCTCATCACGGTTCTACCATTCTAAGGACATATATCAATACATATTACAATAATAATGATTTACGCGATATAGAATAAAATGTCTTTTATTGATTAATAAACATTATTACAAAGAGTTAATTCTACAATAATTGATTAGCTCTAGGGCATCTACTCTAACACCATCATGTCAATGTATGGGAATGGGAAGGAATCCTTGGGGCATGCCCTGTTCAGATCTGTAAAGTCTATGCAAACCCTCTATTTTTTGCTCTTTTCCTTCAAGACCACCACATTTGCTGGCCAATCTGGATAATGGACTTCTCTAATCAATCTGTTACTCAGTAGCTTGTCAACTTCCTCATTGATGACCCAATTGCGTTCTGGAGCGAATTTCCTTCATTTCTGCTTCACTAAAAGGTGGTTTGGATTTACGTGAAGGTGGTGGACGATCGCCTCGGGGCTGACGCCTATCATGTATGTGTGGGACTAGGCGAAGCAATCCTGATTCTACTTGAAGAAGTCTATAAGTTACAATTTTATCTCGGGCTTGAGGCGAGCGCCTATCTGGGTCTTTCAGTCAGGTTGGTGTAAGTGTATCTGCCCTTCATCCAACTCTTCTATTAATGGTTGATCTGGCTCGATCGGAAGAGTTGGATGGTTCTGTAGTTGTTATGAAGCATGATTCTTGCCTTTGAAGGCGTTCTTGTAGTAGTCTCTCAAAGCCTTAGGGTCACCCTTGATTTCTCTTACTCCTCTCTTTGTTGGAAACCTGATAGTCTAATGGAAGATTGATGGAACAGCTCACATGTCATGGATCCAGGGTCGACCTAAGATGACATTGTAGGGTGAGGGGCAGTCAAGCACCAAGAAAGCAGTTTGCTTGTTGACTCCATTGGTATAGATAGGCAGGGAAATTTCTCCGATGGTGTACTTCTGCTCAAAGCTGAACCCAACCAGAATGGTTGGGCGTTTGTTGATATTTGACTCATCTAGTCTCATGACTTTTGCTACTTCAAGAAAGAGGATGTTTGCTGAGGATCCCCCATTTACGAATATTCTCTTGATCAAGATGTTGGCGATTTGGAGGGAGATGACTAGAGCATCGTGATGAGGCGCGGCTAAGGTGGCTGGCTCGTCATCTTCAAACTAAATGATCTGGTTGGTATGTACCCGAGGAGATGGGTGGATAGACGGGACTTCTAGGTGATGGCTGGCTCGAGCTTGCTGTTTGGCCGAGGAATAACTAACCCCGCTAATTTTCGACCCTCTAGAGATAATGGAGCAAAACCCTTTCGGAGTTGGTTCTCGAGGAGGGGTAGATGTTTCTTTCGAGTTTCTCTGGCTGATCGTATTCTACCCTTTATCTGTCAACAGGTCCCGAAGATGTCCCCTCTTCAATAGTGCTGCTACTTCCAGTCTTAGGGCAATACAATCGGCAGTGTTGTGACCATGGTCATCGTGAAATTCGCACCACTTGGTTATGTCCCTCTTTGCATTGGGATTGAGCTTGGCTGGCCGCTTCACGGTGGGTCCCATCCCCTTCATGATAGTCACGACCTGAGCTAGTTCAATGTTGAAGTTGTACTCTGGAATCTTGAATTGGTTTGATCTGGATGGCCTATTTGTGGCCTTGGCTAGCTGACGATCATATGGCCTTTTGATTCTACTCGAACTGAGGGACAATGGTTGATGTCGGGGCTCATATGATCTAGATTCTGGCCTTCTTTCACTCTGCTTTTGGTGACGGTCATCATATCTAGCATTCCTCATTCGGTTCGCCTCGTCTTCCTCCTATCTGATCTGGATCACTACTATGGCTAGCATCTTCCATTGAGGTACAACCAAGTTTAGTTAGGTCTTTGTATAGTTCTCCATTAGGAAGGAGACCCTTTCTGAAAACATCTACCGCTGTCTCTGGATTATAGGATAGGATGGAGACTTTTTCTTTATTGAATCTACTGACGTACTCTCTCAACGGCTTCCCCCTCTCTAGTCGACTCTGTATAGGTCGGCTGATAGCTTCTCGAGTTTCTTGCTGCTGGCGAATTGCTCAACGAAGGTGTCGGTGAGCTGGGCGAATGAGCTAATTGAGTCATTTGGAAGGTTTGTGTACCACTAAAGGGCTGCCCTAGAGAGGCTAGAGCCGAAGCTTTTACACATATAGGCTTCCTTCAGATGAATTAGGATAGTAATGGATGTCTTCGATAGAATCCGGATAGTGCCGGAGTAACTAGGCAACCTTGAGGTCCAAGTAGACACTAAGTCCAATAGGTGGTCTTGGATCACTGGGCTCGGACCCAGACAAGCTGATGATGAGGTCCAAACGAATCGGGGCCTTTATTGATTGGACTCAAGTAGTGAGCAACATGGTAGGTGTAATGAGCGAGCCTAATATGCGAACCATGTCATGAACCCAATTGGAATTGGGTCATGACTTCGAGCTTTGTTGAATGTGTCTTCCCCTTAGGCCTATTAAGGCCAAGGACTTTTTTTTGCCCAACAAGTAGCTAATTACAGTTAATTCCAATTTCAAACCTACTTGATACGATACACCACCTTCTCTTCTTCAACACAGCTGGGATTTTAATTTAATTTTGAATTTATTTGAGAAAATATTTGGGTATGTGAAGAGATGATGATGACTATAGTTTATAAATATAAAGATGTAAGATGAGAAATCGAGGCTGGCCCCGGCCGGATGCATTAACTTTCATAATTTTGTCCTCTCTCGTCACCCATCTCCATTCTCCCTCTTCTTTATTCAAACCAAAATCATTTATTTAATTAAATTTAAAAAAATTAAATCATAATTTTTGGGATAAAATTTGACACTTGCTCCAAAAGGAGAGTGTGGATAAAATGTTAAAAGAGAAGAGTGATGTACAAATATATTTGACATAAGAGAGGGAAATGAAGTTGGAGTGCAAGAAAGAAAAACAAAGGCAGTGGCAGCAAAAGCAACAGAAACGGAACAAAGTGAAAAATAAAAATAAAATAAAAATTGATGTGAAAACAAAACGGGATATGATCGGTCTCACATTCTGCTGCCTGGTATTAAGGGATTTCTCTCTTTTTTAGCAAAGAATCACTTTAGTTCTCTTTCTTTCCCCATTTTAAATAATTATAACTCTTCTTCTTTCATATTTATGCAACCCACCCAATTCAATGACTCTTAACTCTCTCCTCTTCCTTCATGGCTCAGTTACCATTTCCCTCTTCTTGAACTAGGAGCACGTACGCATTGATACTAGGATTTTAATTTTAGTTGATATTGATATTTACACTTGGCAGGTTGATCGGTTAATGAGAAATATTTTGTTAGTTCTTTAATTTAAACAAGCATTCATTCCCATTAAACGTGCTCCAGAAGTATCCGGAATAGATATAGATTATAACTATAGTTTTCAATATTTTTAAACAAGAAGGCCCAAAAAGATAGGAGCCATTATTCTCAAACGATTACACAACACTGATATAAAGTAAAAGATGAATACACCATTCTTCAAATGTCAACAATATTATAATAATATTCTCCCGCAGAATTTAATTTAGATCCAGAGGATTGTCCACAGATTGCCCATCCATGAAAGCGTTGGTGTTATCAGTAGGAAAAGTCCTGCCCAGTCGCTTCTTCAGGATGTTTATCCTGGAAACTCCCTTGTGCAATCCAGGCATCTTCAAGCCCTCTATGAAACTCAGAGCTTGACGAAGTACAGTTATTACCAAAGTCGCCGTTTGAGTACAGGGAGGAATAGGATCCTTGTTGTGGATTAATTTGCCACTGCGGTGCGGACACTAAGCTCTGATTCAGCAAATAACGCCCTAATAGTGCAGTGAATTGCGCAAATAATTCTGCAACTTGAGGATGTACCTGAAATACGGAAGAGGAGACAAAGCAAGCATTAGTTGTATAAATAAGTTTTTTATATATGCATCATATATATGTGTAGCTTGATACTAAATCTACCATAACGTACGCATGCTTATCCTCACCATTAAACAAGTATTTGGCGCAAAATGATTTCTTGGATCAGAAAAGAAATTGTTATTTGACAGCAGCTGATCATGTCCTACCTGGAATAAGAATATAGATGAACAAGTACTTTAGTTGTGTAAATACATTTGTCATGGAAAATATTTATTAAGTTAATACTAAAAACTATCATAAGGGAGCATGTTCATCCTCATACCATGGAAGAAGTATTTGGCACTAAATAATTTCTTGAATAATCAGAAACCAAATTCTGATTTGATAGTGGTTGAGATTCTACCTGCTGTAAATGAAAAACATCGTCAACAAACAAGCCTTAGTCCACTGTGAATCTGTTATTCATGCACTACATCCATATATAAGTTGATTTAAAAGCTGCTATGAGTCATGTGCATACTAACCATTGAAGACGCAATTGGTGCATAATGATTTATTGGATCAAAAACCAAATTTTGATTTGATAGTAGTTGAGGTCCCACCTGCCGAAGAAAAAATTGAAAACAGACAAACTTGAACTGTGTGAATATATTTTTCATTTACAATATATATAACTTGTTATTACTAAAAAACAACCAGCATGTTCATCCTCACCATTGAAGAAGTACATGGTGCAGAATTATTCATTGGATCAAAAACCAAATTCTGATTTGATAGTAGTGGAGATTCTACCTGCTGTAGATGAGAAACATCCACAAACAAGCATTAGTCCACTGCGAATCTGTTATTCATGTACTACATCCATATAAAAGTTGATTAAAAAAATACTATGAGTCGTGCATACTCACCATTGAAGAGGTCATTGATGCAGAATGATTTATTGGACCAAAAACCACATTTTGATCATTTGATAGTAGTTGAGGTCCCACCTGCTGAAGGAAAAATTAAAACAAGACAAACTGAAGTGTGTCGAATATATTTTTCATTTACCCCATATTAATAATATTTATATATATATATATTAACTAACTTGTATTATCTAAGCAACCAGCATGTTCATCCTCACCATGAAGAAGTACATGGTGCAGAATAATTCATTGGATCAAAAACCATATTGTGATTTGATAATAGTTGATGTCCCACCTATTGAAGTAAAAATTATAAACAAACAAGCATTAGTTTTGTGAATATATTTTTCATGCACAATTATAAGTAATACTAAAAACAACCAGCATATTCATCCTCACCATTAAGAATCCAATTTGATGTGGTAGCAGCTGAGGTTAAGGGAAAATCATAAACAAACAAGCATTAGATTTATATGTGACAATAGGTTCATGAAGCATTAATAAGGGTATGCATGCACCCTCACCATTGAAGAAGTATTATCTGCAAATAAATAATTTCTCGTATCAAAGCCCAAATTTTGATTTGATAGTAGTGTAGTTTCTTCCTGTGTAGAATCAGAGACAACAAATAGTTTATCATGCACCATATGTATAAGTTAATACAAACACATAAGACACGTGATCTTCCTTACCATGGTAGAAGTATTCGTTGCAAAATAATTTCCTGTATCAGAAACCAAACAGTGATTTGATTGTAACTCGATTCCCCTGAATAAGAATTAAAGAAACGAAAAATAATTGTGAACAGAAGATATCTATTTAATGAGAACACCCATAAGATGCTTTTTTTCTCACTAAAATAATAAACCCAGCATGTTCTCTCACTATTATTGAAGAATTAGTACTGGTGGAGAATGATTTCCTGGATCAGAATTGAAATTCTAACTTGACTGTAGCTGAAGTTGAAGTCATAGAAGCAATCATTTTTAATGTGACATATTCTCATGCACCTAAATGTATAATTTATACTAAAAACTAGCCTAAAATAGTTTATACATAGTTACATTGAAGAAGTATTGGGACAAATTGATTTTTTGAATCAGATTCTAAATTGGGAACTGATAGTGATTGAGTTTGTACCTAATAGAATCATAAGACAAACAAGTATTGATTGTGTGAATACAGTTTTTCATGAACAGTATACATAGTAAAGCAACAATAAGTCATGCGCGCATCTTTACCATTGAGATGCAATTGGTAAAAAGGATTTTTTGATCAGAACCAAATTGGGATTTGATATTAGTCCAGGTTCTACTTCCTGGAGTGAAAATCATAAACAAAGCATTAATTGTGAGAATATTTTTGCTCAGGTACATATGCATAATTAATAGTAATTAAAAACTACCATAAAGGCATGTGCCCACTCACCATAGGAGAAGTATAATTATCTGCAAAATTATTTCTCGTATCAAAACCCAAATTTGATTTTAGTAGTTGAGGTTCTTCCTGAAGTATAATTATAGATGAATAAGCATTAATTATGGAGAATGTGTATAAAATCGGTACTAAACACTTCCATAAGGAATCATCCCTCACCATAGAAGAAGTATTGGCACAAAATTATTTCCTGTATCGGAACCAAGTTGCGATTTGTGTACCTCGATTCCACCTGAAATAAGAATCATAGAGAAACAAGCATTAATTGTATGATTATAAGATATGTATTGGTAATGAAAACTACCCATAAATAAGATGAATTTTCTCACTCCAAAAATATTCTCAAACCGAATCGAAGGTTGCTGAGATTACTACCTGAGGCAATAGATAACAAGTATTATTTGGATACTTTTCTGCCGCATTATGTACAACTTGATATTGACAAGTGGCCGAACATCCTCCATCTCACCTCTGTAGAAGCTTTTTCTGTAGCATAGGTTTCAGCATCGAAGCCAAACTCTGACTTGGTTGATGTTGATCATCATCGGATTGAAAATATACTTGGCATCCGGATTTTTTTAATGTCGCAGAAAACGAAATCCTTCTGCAACCCAAAAAGAAAAATAAAATGTGTTGGACGTCGTCTAGAATGCTTAGTATCAATATTCCAGCTAACCGCAGCAAATTTCATCAAAACCGAAATCTAGTTTCTATCTCGCTCATCCTCTTTTCAATCTTGAACCAGTAATACAAAAACAGAGTATATACAGATGAAAACTAGCAGACGAAGATTTATGTTCAATAATAAATTCATCACTAAAGCATAAATTAAGAAAACCCATAAACAGTAGTTCAGTAAACTCCAAAATGGAAATGAAAAAAGAAACCAATACACCTTATAACGTGACTGTCCTTAACAGGAACTCGTACATGAGCCGTCAGTCTTGACCATCTTCGAAGCAACACGTTTATGGTAAACCAAATTCTTTTTGCTACCGATCACTTTCCCAGTTTTATCCTTGACTTTAAGGGGTTTACCGGTTATTTTCCAGTTTCCACTACCAGTTTTTCGTTGGCACGTTTGCTGTTTGCGTACTTGTAATCTGGTTCACAGAAAAGCCACACTTTTCATCGGACTTAATTTCTGAAAGCCCTGCATCACAATTCAATTCACATAAGAAAAAACCAAAAAAAATTGTCTGTGTTGTTCAGAGGGGGATATCTGACTAACTGATGGCATGAACAACCCACTAACCTGGTAATTCAGAGGGATCGAGCTTGTAGATTTAAGCTCATTAATCTCGGGTACAGAAAAGTGAGGTCAAGCCGCTTCTTCTTGAGGAACGGTGATGACTCTATATCCCAGATGGTCATGAATCCTACAAGAAGGCCATGTATCTGAGGTGTCAGCAGAAGTAGTGAGAAAGAGTGAAGGATAAAGCAAGCTAATCTCTGGCCTGGTTTGATGGGAGAGATCTGATTGACACAAGCTGAGCTTACTATCTTTACAAAAACAACAATGGATACTGTTGAATGTGGTTATAACACGCAGAGAATCTTGAACGACGTTACTACAAGTCTACAACACACCTCATCCATTTATGTTTAGGAAAGCATATGATTATAAGACTATTTCCCTGTTCCACATCCATCCGAAAGTAAATATTTATTAATTTAAATGGTGATAATATCCTGATGATCATCTATTATATTAGCATGTGGTAGACAATACATGCAGTGGCGTGGGTGAAATGCTAAAACCCAAATGCAAAGGTTTTTGTGTAGCTATTTTACACACGTTTAAGAAATTGTAAAAATCTCTCTTTATCTTCTATTCTCCAAATAAATCTTATTTTCTTTACCTCTTTATGCGTTTAAAAAACACCGATTTTAATTTTGACAATTTGCTGCAGCTCAATAACGATAGATAACAACGAATCTCACAAACTTTTTCTTATACTTTACCGTTACATTGATGATTTGATTTTTAATAAATTTTTCGCTTGCGCTTGCTTAGGGATGTGATGAGAGCATCATGTTGGGTATATGAAGAGAATTTAGAAATTCGTTTATCAACGTAATTATATTAATCTTTATGTTTTGTTTTTGTCAATGCACATAACCAAACATTTTTGTTCCAGACGACTATGCCGAGATAGCATTTATTGTGCTCGCTTGAGAATTTTGTTTATAATGATTTTTATTGCAAAGCAATAAATAGAAAATAAATAAAGACAAAAATAAAAACAATCCCCTAAGCAAACAACAATTTTTAAAAAAAAAATAAATACAACACAGCGACTTATGTGGTTGTGGGGAGTTGGAGGCAGGATTTCATTAGATACGAAAACAAACATAATACATGATTTAGTTTTCTCATATTTAGGTCTATTTTCAACTTAAAATATTTCTCTCTTGTGTTTAGGTTTCTAACTCTCTGTTTAGATGTGTTTTTCCAATTTCTCTAGGTTTAACATCTTTTATTGCTTATAGTTCACTTTTTTAACTGATATACTTTATTGGTATGTCACTCTATGTAAAACACATGTTATGAAGATACGTTTGCTACAATGAGTTGAATGTGCTATAAAGCATTTGAATATGCAATGAATAGAAAAAATAACTTGCTATAAGCGAAAGTGCTTCGTTATAGAAAATTTAAATCACTATAACAAATCATTGTAAAATGCAAACCCACTTTTCTATTTCTCTTATTTGAGTCGTCCTTACATCAATATAAAGAATTATTTTTATAGTATCCTAAATACGTATTTATAGATCTAATCTTCACTTAATTAGCGGGATAAATAATATTTATCAAAAATGATTTATAATGTCATTGAAGCAAGTATTGTTTTTCCAGACAGGCGTCTTCGCCAACACAAATTTCAATTATTAAATTATTTTATTACATAAAGTAATATTAGGCATAACTAAATACTAACCGAAGTTATTTTGGACATACTATTAAAGTTTAAAGGATGTGGAATTAAATTGATTAGTTTAAACAGCTTATATTAATTTGAACAAGTCTAATATTATCAGAATCATAATTGATTTATTAAAATCATTTTTTTTTTTTCACTTTTATCACAATAATCAAGTCTTGTTAATGTAAAAAAGAATTGTGTTATACTTATAAACCCTTTCATAATGTTTAATGACAGCTAAAAAACTATGATTTTTTTTTCAAAAATTATAATAAGAGTTAAAAGACATAGACCCCACAGTGTGATTGTATAATAAAAATTTTTTTTGAGATTTTGGAAATAACAAAAATCCTCCCGTCGTATAAATCATTATAGAACGTTTTTGAGCTAGTAAATATTATCAAATTATCTTTTTACTGTTTATATAAATACCAAAACTTTAACTATAAAATATTTTTATTATTTTTGAAGCCCCGTAAAGATTCCTTTCTTTCTATAATTTCTAAAATCTAAAGTTTATTTGATTATCTATCCGACGTTAAATAACGGTATCAAAAGAGAAAATAAAAAATAAAAAATTATATTAATTTCAGTGTGAACGTAGAAATAACACAATAGTCCATATCGTGCTACCCCACCTTCTCTTTTTTCAAACTAATTTTCCTCCCTTCACTTTCTTTCTAGAATTTTCTTCTCCTTCTCTTCAGATTCATTATTAAAAAGAGTCCCCTTATATCACACGCTGTCCTGGTGCTACTCTTATTTTCTAGAATTTTCTAGAATTTTTTGGTAACTTAATTTTATAAAGGATGAAGAAATATACCTAAGCCGAAGGATCCGAGACAGCACAACCCTATATGCATTAGCAAGGACAACGCACACAAAGGAGCAAAAAGCACCTAAGATACAACCCTTTGACACACCCACCACACCCCAGAACAATTAAAAAAAAACCACGCCAGGTGACTATACAAATGCCCTTTTAAAGGCCATGAAAGGCCCAGCAAAAACACTGCCTGACACAGAAGCTGCAGACCAAAAACGGCCAAAATCAGAGTCTTCACAACTACAGAATTAGCTTGGAGAACCAAGAAACAGAGCCGAATGAGAAGCACCACCAACCCCAAAGGCACCAAAGCAGCGCAAGCCAAACCACAAAACGCGCAAAAAAAGGAACTGCATAACCAAACTGATTCTTAAATTCTTAAATATTTTTTCTTGAAATATTGTGTTTCAAAATTGAGTTAGATTTTAAAATTCTTTTTCATTCTAATGATTTTTTCTTAAATAATTAAAATTATAGAGTTTTATAGTTACATAACAAAATGAATCTTTATTGTGATAATATACTTGAGACCTATATAAACCATAATTTGGTTAAATTAAACATATCATCCTTAAAAGATCTTGCTCATTAGTTTGGGCTTTTGAGTAGAAATTGACTCTTGACTTATGCTTGATTGAATCCCAATAGTGTTGCTTTAATCCCTTAAACATAATTTATTTTAATAAATACTATAACTATCTTCAAGAACTTATAGCTCAATAATATACTGTCCTGTATGTAGAGAAAATTTTATGTGAGACTGTTTCACCCTAACTGGTTAATATGTGAGACTTTCATAATGTTATTCACTATTTATCAAATTTTTGTCATTCCCCATCATTATATTTTAGATACTGTCTATTCTAATTTATCATAAACCCCACCGTAAGGTAAGAGGTATTTTAAAATAGTGATATGTGTGTCTTTATTCTTAAACGGTCTCATCACGTCATCAAGCAAAGATGACTTAATCTCATATAGTTTTTCCGGTGATTAAACATGTGGATACTTGTTTTGTTCAAACATTATTCTCAAACTATTACAGAACTGGAATATAGAACACCTCTTACAATGTCAATAATAATACAGTATTCCCCTGCAACTTTTAATTGTGATTAACACAGCTGCTGGAGGATAGTCCCCAAACATCTCATTGACAAATGTATCGATGTCATGAGTGTCGTGTCAGCAGGAAGAGTCTGTCTACTACTAAAGCCGTTTGAGTATGGGGAGGAATGGATCCCTGTTCTGGATTATTGGCGACTGTGGTGCGAGGAGTGCATTGAATTCTTCAAGTAATTCTTCAATTTGTTGAGCATCCTCCTGAGCAGGAACATTCAAAGACAGACAAGAATTAGCTGCATGTGTGAATATGTTTTACATGCATCAGTGGTAGAACTCAACACTAAAAACTATTAAAAATCCTCACCATTGGAGAAGTATCTGCTGAAACTTGATTTCCAGGATCAGAAGCCGAACTGTGCTGCTCTAGTAGTTGAAGTTCTACCTGAAATCAATATACATATGTATTTAAGTAACATCACTATTGAACTGCAAGTATTTGGTACAAAATGACTTCTGTTTTCTTGGACAAACAAGATTAACTTGATACTGAAAAATAGCCATGAAAAAATACTCTAAATCTCACCTCTGTAGAAAGACTCTCTGTATTTTCAGAATCAGAAGCCAAATTGTGATATGATTCACCATCATCGGGAGTTGAGATAATCGACTTGCTTTTTGGATTCTTTTCGATGTAACAGAAAGCTAAATCCCTCTGAAAAAAGCAACAAGGTTAAGGTAGAACTAATGGTAAAAAAAGAAAAGCAAGAAGATAGAAGAGAAGCGAACAAAGCATATACCTTATAAAGAGGGTTCTCCTTAACATAGAATTCATGCATGACCCAGTCAGTTTTGGCCTCCTTAGAAGCACCACCACGTTTGTAGAAAACCAAAGTCTTTTTGCTTCCGATGATTTTGTCACTTTTATCCTTGACGACACATCCTTTACCTGTTATTTTCCAGTATCCTGTCCTCGTTTTTCGGTTGGCACATTTGCTGTTTGCATACTTATAATACGGTTCACAGAAAAAGTTCCACACTTGTTCATCGGACTTGGTCTCTGAAAGTCCTGCATAACAATTCACTACAACATTAACAAAACAAACAATTAAAGTTGAAGTATGATTAAGTGAAAGCTTGAATCCACTAATTACCAGGCAACTCAGAGGGATCGAGCTTGTAGATATCAACTTCATTGATGCCGGGGAAACAGTCACAAGGGTCAAGCCTTTTCTTCTTGAGAAGACGGATGATCTCTATGTGCAGGAGACGGTACATGAATCCTATAAGAGGACCCATTTCTGATTCAGTGCAGAGAAAGAGTTAGAGCAAGAGCAAGAGCAAGGTGTATGGTTTGAAGAGAAGAATTTGGCTTTACGAATTGGTGCTGCTGAGCTTACTATATATACACAAACGCTACTATTGAGTGAGTTCATAACAGCGTCAGCCTCAGAATCTTTCAAGCGAAGTTAATTATAACACTGTTCATAAAGTTTTCTTTAATAAAAATGATAAAATCCAAGAGAATTTTCTTTTCAGTATTTCATTATCTATTTTAACTTAGTAATTACAAAAATTATTGTTTTAACTTAATTATCTTTATTGTAATTGATAATCTTTATTGTAATTGATATAAAAATAAAATATATATTACATTAATAATTAATTAATGGAGTATGTCAAATTTAAGTATAGTCATTGATAAAGGAGATAGATATTGGTAAAAAAAGATAAATATTAATGGAGCATGTCAAATCCTAGTATATTCTATAAATACATTATAGTGTCCATGTTGACAAGTTCAAAAGACATAGTAACAACTTTAAAAATAAATCATTATTTCAAACAATTTTAGATAAATATTTTATTTCATCTTAAACTTTTAGTGTAACATAATATATATTTTTTATAATATATAGATAATTATTATTACGTGGAGGTAAGAATCTTAAGACACTTGAGATTTAGAAAAATTACAATTTATTACAATATAAAATTTATTCTTATTGATAATTGATCTAAGTTAGGACCAAAATTTTTTTATGACTATATGAATGTTATTTTTATACAGAATATTATTGATGTAATATTTAATTAATAATTATTAACCGTGTATTTATACAACTTATTTTGAATTGATTGGCCTCTTTTCTGAAGTCCTTTATTCAATTAAATCTCCAATACTTGTATGCCAACTAATGAGGGTGGAATAGTGACACTACAGTACACAACCGTGCGCCCCAAGTAGTGTAAGGCCCCACCCCATCAGGTCCCCACCTATTATACATTTTCCAATTCCACTCGCTTTCTTCAATTGGAAGCCATTCCCTTTCTTCTTTTTATTTCTGTTAAACAAGATAACAACGTGTCCACTTCTTTCACAAGTTATTGGGTCCAAGTCAAACATGTGCCTTATCTTAATTATAAAGATATCAGTAGCACTAGGAGACCAGTCAGTGACTTCATCTGTCACTTTCCTTTGGGTGAATTACTCAAGGCTATGTCAATTAGTTGATTTAGCTTTAAATTTCCAACATTTCCAGATGTTTAAAACCCAGCCCGGACAGCCAATTGGACGGTACCGGACCGAGGCTTTCATCAAACCAAGTTACCAATTTTACTATTTATCAAAAAACCTTAAAAATCAAGACGACAATTGACGAACAATTAAAGACTGTGATGTTGGGAGTTTTAAAAAGGAAGGGTTGGTGAGTGAAAAGCTGGTGACGGAGGTGATCCAGTGAGTGAATCGATCGAAAATTGTAAAAATAAATCGTGACAACAAGTTGTTGCCAACGATTGGCGAAGCAAAAGAGAGAGGTGAGATGAGTTTGGGTTAGAAGATTGAGGAGAGTGTTCGTGGTGATAAGGAGTGTTGTCATCATAAAAAACAGGCCCTATTTACCTTGAGTTGTCGACATAGTTGATGGTGTTTGAGGGTTTTTACAAGATTTCAAGCCTATAGGGACTTAAAGGAATTTTCGAGAGTATTTTTGTTAAATTTCAAACCTTTGAACACCGATTTGACCCACCAATCAAACCAGTCAACCCAGGACCCGACCACTTGCCATTGCCAAGTTTCACCTGGGTTGGTTATTAAAACACTGGTCACAGCAACATTAAGCAATATAATTCAAGAAGAAATGCTACATAAATCAGCTCTCACATATATAAAAAGCAAAATTGGAATCAGTGAATGTTTCACCTAAGGATGTAAATTCACAAGGCAAAACACCAGCTTGTTATTTCTATTTTCTTCCCATTTTAGAATACAAAAGAACCTTCTACATATCAAACCTATAAACTCACAGAGTAACTCCATCCAAAAGAATGACGACAACAATGGTTTCTTTTGACTCTCCCTCAACTAAAAAACACAACTCAAATTTGCATGACATCTACAAAAACACAACAGGAAATATCAGTACTTTCCAGTGGAATGTAACTTATGGCCATCACAAAAAATAGTCTGGGGTCCTGCGTGTAGTATCCGGTTCAATCTGACGAGGAGCTGGGTCAAATTGAAGAAAGTTCTGCTCCATATTCTCGTTAAGGATTAAACAGCTAATCTCTGCCTGTTTGATGGGAGGAATCTGATTACGACAAGCTGAGCTTACTATCTTTACAAAAAAAACAAATGTACTGTTGAATGTGGTTAACAGCGAGAGATTCTTAACGACGTTGCTACAAGTCTACACACACTCATCCAGTATTGTTTAGGAAACATATGACTAGTAAGACTATTTCCCTGTTCCACACTCATCCGAAAGTAAATATTTATTATTTAAATGGGTATAATATCCATTGATGTCATATTTATATTTAGCATGTGGTAGACAATACTGCAGTGGCGTGGTGAAATGCTAAAACCCAAATGCAAAGGTTTTTTGTGTAGCTATTTTCACACGTTTAGAAATTGTAAAAATCTCTCTTTATCTTCTATTCTCCAATAAATTCTTATTTCTTTACCTCTATTTTAATGCAGTTTAAAAAACACCGATTTTAATTTTGACAAATTTGCTGCAGCTCAATAACGATAAGTAACAAACAATCTCACAAACTTTTTCTTATAACTTTAACTTACATTGATATTTGATTTTTAATAAATTTTCTCTCTTGCTGACGTTGCCTAGGGATGTGATAGAGCATCATTTGGGTATAAGAGAAAAATTTATGAACGTTTATCAACGTAATTAATTAATCTTTATGTTTTGTTTTTGTCAAATGCAACATAACCAACATTTTGTTCACAGAGACAGTATGCTCAGATAGCATTTATTGTGCTCGCTTGAGAATTTTGTTTATAATGAATTTTAATTGCAAAAGCAAATAAAATAGAAAATATAAAATAAAGACAAAATAAAACAATAACCTAAGCAAACACAATTTTTAAAAAAAAATAAATAATACACAAGCGACTTATGTGGTTAGTTGGGAGTTGGGAGGCAGGATTTCATTAGATACGAAAACAAAATAATACAATGATTTAGTTTCTCATATTTAGGTCTTAATTTTTCAACCTTAAATATTTCTCTCTTGTGTTTGGTTTGCTAACTCTCTGTTAGATGTGTTTTTTCCCAAATTTCTCTAGGGTTTAACATCTTTTTATATTGCTTATAGTTCACTTTTTTAACTGATAAACTAATTAGGTAAAAGTCACTCTTCTATTAAAAACACATGTTATGAAGATCGTTGCTACAATGAAGTTGAATGTGCTATAAAGCATTTGAATATGCAATAATAAAAAATAACTTGCTAATAGCGAAAGTGCTTCGTTATAAAAATTTAAATCTACTATAACAAATCATTGTAAAATGCAAACCCACTTTCTATTTCTCTTTTTGAGTCGTCCTTAATCAATATAAAGAAGTATTTTATATATCCTAAATACTTTTTATAGATCTAATCTATCACTTAATTAGGCGAGGATAAATAATATTTATCAAAAATGACTTTATAATGTTCATTGAAGCAAGTATTGTTTTTCCAGGCGTCTTCGCCAACACAAATTTCAAATTATTAAATTTATTTTATTACATAGTAATATTTGCATAAACTAAATACTACCCGAAGTTATTTTGGACTACTATTAAAGTTTAAAGATGTGGAATTAAATTGATTAGTTTAAACGCTTATATTAAAAATTTTGAACAAGTCTAATATTATCGAATCATAATTGATTTATTAAAATCATTTTTTTTTTTCACTTTTATCACAATAATCAAGTCTTGTTAATGTAAAAAAGAATTGTGTTATACTTATAAACCCTTTCATAATGTTTAATGACAGCATAAAAAACTATATAATTTTTTCAAAATATAATAAAGAGTTAAAAGACAAGACCCCATCACGTGTGATGTAATAAAAAAAATTTTTTTTGGATTTTGGAAATAACAAAAATCCTCCCGTCGTTAATAATCATTATAGAACTGTTATGAGCTAGTAAATATTATCAAATTATCTTTTACTGTTTTATAAATACCAAAACTTTACTATAAAATATTTTTATTATTTTTGAAGCCCCGTAAAGATCTTTCTTTCTATAATTTCTAAAATCTAAGTATTATTTGATTACTATACCGGGGCTGTTAAATAACGGTAGTCAAAAAGAAAAAATAAAAAATAAAAATTATTTAATTTCAAGTGTGAACGTAAAAATAACACAATAGTCCATATTCGTGCTACCCCACCTTCTCTTTTTTCAAACTAATTTTCCTCCCTTCACTTTCTTTCTAGAATTTTCTTCTCCTTCTCTTCAGATTTCATTATTACAAAGAGTCCCCTTATATCACACGCTGTCCTGGTGCTACTCTTATTTTCTAAATTTCTAGAATTTTTTTTGGTAACTATAATTTTATAAAGGATGAAGAAAATACCTAAGCCGAAGATCCGAGACAGCACAACCCTATATGCATTAGCAAGGGACAACGCACACAAGGAGCAAAACACCTAAGATACAACCCTTTGACACACCCCTACACCCCAAGAACATTAAAAAAAAAACCCAGCCAGGTGACTATACAAAATGCCCTTTTAAAGGCCATGAAAGGACCAGCAAAACACTGCCTGACACAGAAGCTGCAGACCAAAACGAGGCCAAACAAGTCTTCACAACTAGAATTAGCATGGAGAACCAAGAAACAGACCGAATGAAGAAGCAGCCACCAACACCAAGGCACCAAAGCAGCGCAAGCCAAACCACAAACGCGCAAAAAAAGGAACTGCAAATAACCAAACTGAATTCTTAAATAATCTTAAATATTTTTTCTTGAATAATTGTGTTTCAAAATTGAAGTTAGATTTTAAAATTCTTTTTTCATTCTAATGTTTTTCTTAAATAATTAAAATTATAAGAGTTTTATAGTTACATAACAAAATGAATCTTTATTTGTGATAATATACTTGAGAAACTATATAAACCATAATTTGGTTAAATTAAACATATTCAATCCTAATAAAATGCTTCTCATTATTTTGGGTTTTTGAGTAAAAATTGACTCTTGACTATATGCTGATTGACCCCATATAGTGTTGCTTTAATCCCTTAACATAATTTATTTTAATAAATACTATAACTATCTTCAAGAACTTATAGCTCAATAATATACTGTCCTGTTGTAGAGAAATATTATGTGAGACTGTTTCACCATCTAACTGGTTAATATGGTGAGCCTATCAATAATGTTATTCACATATTTACAATTTCTTGTCATTCACCCATCATTATGATTTATGAATAACTGTCTATTCTATTTATCATAAACACCACCGTAGAGTAAGAGGTGATTTTAAAAATTAGTGATATTGTGTGTCTTTATTCTTTAAACGGTCTCATCACGTCAATCAAGCAAATGATTACATTACTCATATAAGTTTTTCCGGTGTATTAACAGGTGTGGATAACTTGTTTGTTCAAACATTATTCTCAAACTATTACAGAACTGGGATATAGTAAAGCACTCTTACAATGTCAATAATAATAACAGTATTCCCCTGCAACTTTTAATTGTGATTAACACATGCTGCTGGAGGATAGTCCACAAACATCTCATTGACAAATGTATCGATGTCATGAGTGTCTGTGTCAGCAGAAGAGTCTGTCTCACTACTAAAGCCGTTTGAGTATGGGAGGAATTGATCCCTGTTCTGGATTAATTGGCGACTGTGTGCGAGGAGTCCATTGAATTCTTCAAGTAATTCTTCAATTTTTTGAGCATCCTCCTGACAGGAACATTCAAAGACAGACAAGAATTAGCTGCATGTGTGAATATGTTTTACATGCATCAGTGGTAGAACTCAACACTAAAAACTACTAAAAATCCTCACCATTGGAGAAGTATCTGCTGAAACTTGATTTCCAGGATCAGAAGCCGAACTGTGCTGCTCTAGTAGTTGAAGTTCTACCTGAAATCAATATACATATGTATTTAAGTAACCTCACATTGAACTGCAAGTATTTGGTACAACATAATTTCTGCTTTCTTGGACAAACAAGATTAACTTGATACAGAAAAATGGCCATGAAACAATACTCTAAATCTCACCTCTGTAAAAGACTCTCTGTATTTTCAGAATCAGAAGCCAAATTGTGATATGATTCACCATCATCGGGATTTAGATAATCGCCTTGCTTTTTGGATTCTTTTCGATGTAACAAAAGCTAATCCCTCTGAAAAAAGCACAAGGTTAAGGTAGAACTAATGGTAAAAAAGAAAAGCAGAAGATAAGAGAAAAGCGACAAAGCATATACCTTAAAAGAGGGTTTGTCCTTAACATAGAAATCATGCAGACCCAGTCAGTTTTGCCTCCTTAGAAGCACCACCACGTTTGTAGAAAACCAAAGTCTTTTTGCTTCCGATGATTTTGTCACTTTATCCTTGACGACACTCCTTTACCTGTTATTTTCCAGTATCCTGTCCTGGTTTTTCGGTTGGCACGTTTGCTATTTGCATACTTATAATACGGTTCAGAAAAAGTTCCACACTTGTTCATCGTACTATAAGGGTATGCATGCACCCTCACCATTGAAGAAGTATTATCTGCAAATAAATAATTTCTCGTATCAAAGCCCAAATTTTGATTTGATAGTAGTTGAGGTTCTTCCTGTAGTAAGAATCAGAGACAACAAATAAGTTTATCATGCACCATATGTATAAGTTAATACTAAAAACTACATAAGGCACGTGATCTTCCTTACCATGGTAGAAGTATTCGTTGCAAAATAATTTCCTGTATCAGAAACCAAACTGTGATTTGATTGTAACTCAGATTCCACCTGAAATAAGAATTATAGAGAAGCAACAATTAATTGTGTGAACAGAAGATATCTATTTGTAATGAGAACTACCCATAAGATGCTTTTTTTCTCACTAAAATTAAATAAACCAGCATGCATGTTCATCCTCACTATTGAAGAATTAGTACATGGTGGAGAATGATTTCCTGGATCAGAATTGAAATTCTAACTTGACTGTAGCTGAAGTTGAAGTCATAGACAAGCAATCATTTGTAATGTGACAATAGTCTCATGCACCATAAATGTATATTTTATACTAAAAACTAGCCTAAAATATGTTTATACATAGTTACCATTGAAGAAGTATTTGGGACAAATTGATTTTTTGAATCAGATTCTAAATTGGGAACTGATAGTGATTGAGTTTGTACCTAAAGTAAGAATCATAGACAAACAAGTATTGACTGTGTGAATACAGTTTTTCATGAACAGTATACATAAGTAAAAGCAACAATAAGTCATGCGCGCATCTTTACCATTGAAGATGCAATTGGTATAAAAGGATTTTTTTGATCAGAAACCAAATTGGGATTTGATATTAGTCCAGGTTCTACTTCCTGAAGTGAAAATCATAAACAATGCATTAATTGTGAGAATATTTTTGCTCAGGTACCATATGCATAAATTAATAGTAATTAAAAACTACCATAAAGGCATGTGCACACTCACCACAGGAGAAGTATAATTATCTGCAAAATTATTTCTCGGACCAAAACCCAAATTTTGATTTGATAGTAGTTGAGGTTCTTCCTGAAGTAATAATTATAGATGAATAAGTATTAATTATAGAGAATGTGTACAAAAATCGGTACTAAACACTTGCACAAGGAATCATCCCTCACCATAGAAGAAGTATTTGGCACAAAATTATTTCCTGTATCAGGAAACAAGTTGCGATTTGATTGTACCTCGGATTCCACCTGAAATAAGAATCATAGAGAAACAAGCATTAATTGTATGATTATAAGATATGTATTGGTAATGAAAACTGCCCATAAATAAGATGAATTTTCTCACTTCCAAAGAGTTATTTCTCAAACCGTGAGTCGAAGGTTGCTGAGATTCTACTACCTGAGGCAATAGATAAACAAGTATTAGATTTGGATACTTTTCTGCCGCATTATGTACAACTTGATATTGACAAGTGGCCGAGACATCCTCCATCTCACCTCTGTAGAAGCTTTTTCTGTAGCATAGGTTTCAGCATCAGAAGCCAAACTCTGACTTGGTTGATGTTGATCATCATCGGAAGTTGAAATATTAGACTTGGCATCCGGATTTTTTTTAATGTCGCAGAAAACAAAATCCTTCTGCAAAACCAAAAAAAGAAAAATAAAATGTGTTGGATCGTCTAGAATGCTTAGTATAAAATATTTTCAAGCTAACCGCAGTAAATTTCATCAAAACCGAAATCTAGTTTCTATCTCGCTCATCCATCTTTTCAATCTTCAACCATTAATACAAAAACAGAGTATATACAGATGAAAACTAGCAGAAGAAGATTTATGTTCAATAGATAAATTCATCACTAAAGCATAAATTAAGAAAACCCATAAACAGTAGTTCAGTAAACTCCAAAAATGAGAAATGAGAAAAAGAAACCAATACACCTTATAACGTGAGCTGTCCTTAACAGAGAACTCGTACATGAGCCAGTCAGTCTTGACCATCTTCGAAGCAACACGTTTATGGTAAACCAAATTCTTTTTGCTACCGATCACTTTCCCAGTTTTATCCTTGACTTTAAGGGGTTTACCGGTTATTTTCCAGTTTCCACTACCAGTTTTTCGGTTGGCACGTTTACTGTTTGCGTACTTGTAATCTGGTTCACAGAAAAAGCTCCACACTTGTTCATCGGACTTAATTTCTGAAAGCCCTGCATCACAATTCAATTCACATAAGAACAAAAACAAAAAAAAATTGTTCTGTGTTGTTCAGAGGGTGATATCTGACTAACTGATGGCATGAACAACCCACTAACCTGGTAATTCAGAGGGATCGAGCTTGTAGATATTAAGCTCATTAATCTCGGGTACAGAAAAGTGAGGGTCAAGCCGCTTCTTCTTGAGGAGACGGATGATCTCTATATGCAGCAGATGGTACATGAATCCTACAAGAAGGGCCATGTATCTGAGGTGATTCAGCAGAAGTAGTGAGAAAGAGTGAAAGATTAAAGCAAGCTAATCTCTGGCACTGGTTTGATGGGAGGAATCTGATTGACGACAAGCTGAGCTTACTATCTTTACAAAAAACAAAATGGGTACTGTTGAATGTGGTTATAACAGCGAGAGAATCTTGGAACGACGTTGACTACAAGTCTACAACACACTCATCCAGTTATTGTTTAGGAAAGCATATGACTAGTAAGACTATTTGCCTGTTCCACACTCATCCAAAAGTAAATATTTATTAATTTAAATGGTGATAATATCCATTGATGATCATATTTATATATTAAGCATGTGGTAGACAATACATGCAGTGGCGTGGGTGAAATGCTAAAACCCAAATGCAAAGGGTTTTTGTGTAGCTATTTTACACACGTTTAAGAAATTGTAAAAATCTCTCTTTATCTTCTATTCTCCAAATAAATTCTTATTTTCTTTACCTCTATTTTAATGCAGTTTAAAAAACACGGATTTTAATTTTGACAAGTTTGCTGCAGCTCAATAACGATAGAGTAACAAACGAATCTCACAAACTTTTTCTTATAACTTTAACGTTACATTGATGATTTGATTTTTAATAAATTTTCTCGCTTGCTGACGTTGCCTAGGGATGTGATGAGAGCATCATGTTGGGTATATAAGAGAAAATTTATGAAATTCGTTTATCAACGTAATATTAATATTAATCTTTATGTTTTGTTTTTGTCAAATGCAACATAACCAAACATTTTTGTTCACAGACGACAGTATGCTCGAGATAGCATTTATTGTGCTCGCTTGAGAATTTTGTTTATAATGAATTTTAATTGCAAAAGTAAATAAAATAGAAAATATAATAAAAGACAAAAATAAAAACAATAACCTAAGCAAACAACAATTTTTAAAAAAATAAATAAATAAATACACAAGCGACTTATGTGGTTAGTTGGGAGTTGGGAGGCAGGATTTCATTAGATACGAAAACAAACAATAATACAATGATTTAGTTTTCTCATATTTAGGTCTTAATTTTTCAACCTTAAAATATTTCTCTCTTGTGTTTAGGTAAAATACCACTCATCCTAGGTTAAAAACACATTATTATGAAAATACGTTTGCTACAATGAAGTTGAATTTGCTATAAAGCATTTGAATATGGAATGAATAGAAAAAATAACTCGCTAATACGAAAGTGCTTCATTATAGAAAATTTAAATCTACTATAACAAATCGTTGTAAAATGCTAACCCACTTTTCTATTTCTCTTATTTGAGTCGTCCTTGCATCAATATAAAGAAGTATTTCATTGTATTCTAAATACGTATTTATAGATCTAGTCTATCACTTAATTAGTGAGGATAAATAATATTTATCGAAAATGACTTTATAGTGTTCATTGAAGCAAGTATTGTTTTTCTAGACAGACTTCTTCTCCAACACAAATTTCAAATTATTAAAATTTATTTTATTACATAAAGTAATATCATGCATAAACCAATTACTAACCGAAGTTATTTTGGACATACTATTAAAGTTTAAAGGACGTGGAATTAAATTGATTAGTTTAAACAGCTTATATTAAAAATTTTGAACAAGTCTAATATTATCATAATCATAATTGATTTATTAAAATCATTTTTTTTCACTTTTATCATAGTAATCAAGTCTTGTTAATGTAAACAAGAATTGTGTTATACTTACAAACCCTTTCATAATGTTTAATGACAGCATAAAAAACCTATGATAATTTTTTCAGAAATTATAATAAAGAGTTAAAAGACATAGACCCCATCACGTGTGATGTAATAATANAAAATACGTTTGCTACAATGAAGTTGAATTTGCTATAAAGCATTTGAATATGGAATGAATAGAAAAAATAACTCGCTAATACGAAAGTGCTTCATTATAGAAAATTTAAATCTACTATAACAAATCATTGTAAAATGCAAACCCACTTTTCTATTTCTCTTATTTGAGTCGTCCTTGCATCAATATAAAGAAGTATTTCATTGTATTCTAAATACGTATTTATAGATCTAGTCTATCACTTAATTAGTGAGGATAAATAATATTTATCGAAAATGACTTTATAGTGTTCATTGAAGCAAGTATTGTTTTTCTAGACAGACTTCTTCTCCAACACAAATTTCAAATTATTAAAATTTATTTTATTACATAAAGTAATATCATGCATAAACCAATTACTAACCGAAGTTATTTTGGACATACTATTAAAGTTTAAAGGACGTGGAATTAAATTGATTAGTTTAAACAGCTTATATTAAAAATTTTGAACAAGTCTAATATTATCAGAATCATAATTGATTTATTAAAATCATTTTTTTTCACTTTTATCATAATAATCAAGTCTTGTTAATGTAAAAAAGAATTGTGTTATACTTATAAACCCTTTCATAATGTTTAATGACAGCATAAAAAAACTATGATAATTTTTTCAAAAATTATAATAAAGAGTTAAAAGACATAGACCCCATCACGTGTGATGTAATAATAAAAATTTTTTTTTGAGATTTTGGAAATAACAAAAATCCTCCCGTCGTTAATAAATCATTATAGAACTGTTATGAGCTAGTAAATATTATCAAATTATCTTTTTACTGTTTATATAAATACCAAAACTTTAACTATAAAATATTTTTATTATTTTTGAAGCCCCGTAAAGATTCCTTTCTTTCTATAATTTCTAAAATCTAAAGTGTTATTTTATTATCTATGCCGGGGACTGTTAAATAACGGTAGTCAAAAAGAGAAAAATAAAAAAATAAAAATTATATTAATTTCAAGTGTGAACGTGGAAAAATAACACAATAGTCTATATTCGTGCTACCCCACCTTCTCTTTTCTTAACTAATTTTCCTCCCTTCACTTTCTTTCTAGAATTTTCTTCTCCTTCTCTCTTCAGATTTCATTATTACAATAGAGTCCCCTTATATCACAAGCTGTCTTGGTGCTACTCTTATTTTCTAGAATTCTTTTGGGTAACTAATAATTTTATTAAGGATGAAAGAAATACACCTAAACCGAAGGATCCGTGACAGCACAACCCTATGCATGAGCAAGGGACAACGCAGCACAAAGGAGCAAAAAGCACCTAAGATACAACCCTTTGACACACCCACCTACACCCCAAGAACAATTAAAAAAAAAACACCAGCCAGGGTGACTACACAATGCCCTTTGAAAGGCCATAAAGGACCAGCAGCCACCACCAAAACAGTGCCTGACACAGAAGCTGCAGACCAAAAACGAGGCCAAAATCAGAGTCTTCACAACTAGAATTAGCATTGGAGAACCAAGAAACAGAGCCGAAGGAAGAAACAGCCACCAACACCAAAGGCACCACAGCAGCGCAAGCCAAAACCACCAAACGCGCAAAAAACAGGAACTGCAAATAACCAAACTGAATTCTTAAATAATTTTCTAGAATATTTTTGCTTGGATAATTGTGTTTCAAAATTGAAGTTAGATTTTAAATTTTTTTTATCATTCTAATGATTTTTTCTTAAATAATTAAAATTATAAGAGTTTTATAGTTACATAACAAAATGAATCTTTATTTGTGATAATATACTTGAGAAACTATATAAACCATAATTTGGTTAAATTAAACATATTCAATCCTAATAAAAGATCTTGCTAATTAGTTTGGGCATTTTGAGTAGAAATTGACTCTTGACTATATGCTTGATTGAATCCCAATATAGTGTTGCCTTTAATCCCTTAAACGTAATTTATTTTAATAAGATACTATAACTATCTTCAAGAACTTATAGCTCTAACTCATACATCAATAATATACTTTAATTGCCCAGTATGTAGAAAAATATTTATGTGAGACTATTTCACCGTCTCACTTGGTTAATATGGTGAAACCGTTCAATAATATAGTGATATATGTCAATCACATATTTGTCAAATTTCTTATCATTCACCCATTATTGTGATTTATGAATATCTATCTATTATAACTGACCAATAACCACCATCGTAAGAGGTGATTTTAAAAATTAGTGATATGTGTGTCTTTATTCTTTAAACGGTCTCATCACGTCAATCAAGCAAAATGATTACATTATCTCATATAAGTTTTTCCGGTGTATTAAACAGGTGTGGATAACTTGTTTGTTCAAACATTATTCTCAAACTATTACAGAACTGGGAATATAGTAAAGCACTCTTACAATGTCAATAATAATAACAGTATTCCCCTGCAACTTTTAATTGTGATTAACACATGCTGCTGGAGGATAGTCCACAAACATCTCATTGACAAATGTATCGATGTCTAGTTCTGTGTCAGCAGGAAGTCTGTCTACTACTAAAGCCGTTTGAGTATGGGAGGAATTGGATCCCTGTTCTGGATTAATTGCGACTGGTGGCGAGGAGTGCATTGAATTCTTCAAGTAATTCTTCAATTTGTTGAGCATCCTCCTAGCAGGAACATTCAAAGCACGACAAGAATTAGCTGCATGTGTGAATATGTTTTACATGCATCAGTGGTAGAACTCAACACTAAAAACTACTAAAATCCTCACCATTGGAGAAGTATCTGCTGAAACTTGATTTCCAGGATCAGAAGCCGAACTGTGCTGCTCTATTAGTTGAAGTTCTACCTGAAATCAATATACTATGTATTTAAGTAACCTCACTATTGAACTGCAAGTATTTGGTACACATAATTTCTGCTTTCTTGGACAAACAGATTAACTTGATACAGAAAAATGGCCATGAAAACATACTCTAAATCTCACCTCTGTAGAAAGACTCTCTGTATTTTCAGAATCAGAAGCCAAATTGTGATATGATTCACCATCATCGGATTGAGATAATCGCCTTGCTTTTTGGATTCTTTTCGATGTAACGAAAGCTAAATCCCTCTGAAAAAAGCAACAGGGTTAGGTAGAACTAATGGTAAAAAAGAAAAGCAAGAAGATAGAAGAGAAGCGAACAAAGCATATACCTTATAAAGAGGGTTGTCCTTAACAGAGAATCATGCATGACCCATCATTTTTTGGCCTCCTTAGAAGCACCACCACGTTTGTAGAAAACCAAAGTCTTTTTGCTTCCGATGATTTTGTCACTTTTATCCTTGACGACACATCCTTTACCTGTATTTTCCAGTATCCTGTCCTGGTTTTTCGGTTGGCACGTTTGCTATTTGCATACTTATAATACGGTTCACAGAAAAAGTTCCACACTTGTTCATCGGACTTGGTCTCTGAAAGTCCTGCAATACACATTCACTACAACATAACAAAACAAACAATTAAGTTGAAGTATAATTAAGTGAAGCTGAATCCACTAATTACCAGCAACTCAGAGGGATCGAGCTGTAGATATCAACTTCATTGATGCCGGGAAACAGTCAGAAGGGTCAAGCCTTTCTTCTTGAGAAGACGGATGATCTCTATGTGCAGGAGACGGTACATGAATCCTATAAGAGGACCCATTTCTGATTCAATGCAGAGAAAGAGTTAGAGCAGAAGCAAGGTGTATGGCTTGAAGAAAGAATTTGGCCTTACGAATTGTGTTTGCTGAGCTTACTATATATACACAAACGCTACTATTGAGTGAGTTCATAACAGCGCCAGCCTCAGAATCTTTCAACGAAGTTAATTATAACACTGTTCATAATGTTTTCTTTAAAAAAATGATAAAATCCAAGAGAATTTTCTTTTCAGTATTTCATTATCTATTTTAACTTAGTAATTACAAAAATTATTTTTTTAACTTATTATCTTTATTGTAATTGATATTTATTGTAATGTATAAAATAAATATATATTACTTAATAAATTAATTAATGGAGTATGTCAATTTAGTATGTCTGATAAGGAGATAGATATGAAAAAGATAAATATTAATGAGCATGTCAAATCCTAGTATATTCTATAAATACATTATAGTGTCCATGTTGACAGTTCAAAACATAGTAACAACTTTAAAAATAAATCATTATTTCAACAATTTTAGATAATTATTTTATTTCATCTTAACTTTTAGTGTAACTAATATATATTTTTTATAATTATAGATAATTATTATTACGTGGAGGAAGAATCTTAAGACACTTGAGATTTAGAAAAATTACAATTTATTACATATTTTTATTCTTATTGATAATGATCTAAGTTAGGACCAAAATTTTTTTATGACTATATGAATGTTATTTTTTTACAGAATATTATTGATGTAATATTTAATTATATTATTACCGTGTATTTATACAATTTATTTGAATTGATTGGCCTCTTTTCTGAAGTCCTTTATTCAATTAAATCTCCAATACTTGTATGCCAACTTATGAGGGTAGAATAGTGACACTACAGTAACGTACAGAACCGTGCTCTCCAAGTAGTGAGAAGCCCCACCCCATCATCTCCCCACCTATTAACATTTTCCAATTCCACTCGCTTTCTTCAATTGGAAGCCATCCCTTTCCTCTTTTTATTTCTGTTAAACAAGATAACACCGTGTCCACTTCTTTCACAAGTTACTAGTCCAAGTCAATATGTGCCTTATCTTAATTATAAAGATATCAGTAGCACTAGGAGACAATTGAGTGGCTTCATCTGTCACTTTCCTTTGAGTGAATTACTCAAGGCTATGTCAATTAGTTGATTTAGCTTTAAATTTCCAACATTTCCAGATGTTTAAAACCCAGCCCGACAGCCAATTGGACGGTACCGGACCGAGGCTTTCATCAAACCAGTTACCAATTTTACTATTTATCAAAAACCTAAAAATCAAGACACAATTGACGAACATAAAGACTGTGATGTTGGGAGTTTAAAAAGGAAGGGTTGTTGAGTGAAAAGCTGGTGACGGAGGTGACCAGTGAGTGAATCGATCGAAAATTGAAAAATAAATCGTGACACACAGTTGTTGCCAACGATTGGCGAAGCAAAAGAGAGAGGTGAGATGAGTTTGGGTTAGAAGATTGAGGAGAGTGTTCGGGGTGATAAGGGTGTTGTCATCATAAAAAACAGGCCCTATTTACCTTGAGTTGTCGACATAGTTATGGTGTTTGAGGGTTTTTACAAGATTTCAAGCCTATAGGACTTAAAGGAATTTTCGAGAGTATTTTTGTTAAATTTCAAACCTTTGAACACCGATTTGACCCACCAATCAAACCATTCAACCCAGGACCCGACCACTTGCCATTGCCAAGTTTCACCTGGGTTGGTTATTAAAACACTGTTCACAGCAACATTACAATATAATTCAAGAAGAAATGCTACATAAATCAGCTCTCATATATAAAAAGCAAAATTGGAATCAGTGAATTTTCACCTAAGGGTGTAAATTCACAGGGCAACACCAGCTTGTTATTTCTATTTTCCTCCCATTTTAGAATACAAAGAACCTTCTACATATCAAACCTATAAACTCACAGAGTAACTCCATCCAAAAGAATGACGACAACAATGGTTTCTTTTGACTCTCCCTCAACTAAAAAACACAACTCAATTTGCATGACATCTAAAAACACACACGGAAATATCAGTACTTTCCAGTGGAATGTAACTTATGCCATCACAAAAATAGTCTGGGGTCCTGCGTGTATTATCCGTTCAATCTGACGAGGAGCTGGGTCAAATTGAAGAAAGTTCGCTCCATATTCTCCCAATTTCAAGAATTGCAGCCATATTTCCACACCGGTAGCAGTAATTTGGTGCACTGAACACTGTCACCACATTCTTCTCCTACAATGATTTGTAGAAACAAACCATTAGAAAACTCACTCCGTAACAACAAATTCAAAGATGATTATAATTTCATTCAGAGTTCTCATACCTGACACCAATTGTATCCTTCCATACAAGCTGGTGAGCTCTAAAATAAGACTGAGCCCATTAGTATGGTTTAAACTGTCAGCAATATCCTGTCCAAAGGTGTATCCAGCACCACGAGGAGATATTCCCCATCCACACCGGTCATCCGATCAGACCACAAGAGATCACACATTGGGCCCTCATGAGGAACCTACTCCCAGCATAAACATTGGAAGAAAAGTAAGAAACATAATGATGCTGGAAGAAACATTTGATGAGATGAGGATGAACCAATCTTTTCTAGCATCCACTGACGATGAAAATATCATGTCAATACATCTAAGCTGCTTCTGTAATGTCACTTTATTAAATAGTATCACATTTCCAACTTTAACCATCCTTTTCGTACTCTTTTTTTTTTTTTTTTTTTTTTTAATAATGCAATTTGTGGTATTTACAGTTATGCAACATGGCTTCAAATTTAAACACGATTTGGTACTCTCTAAATTGCAAAATTCAACAGTTCCAACTTAACCATCCCTTTTTGTACTTTTTTTTTTTTTTTGTTTGATAATCACAATCTGCAGTAATTGAATTACGGTTATGCAACATAGCTTAAACTTAAACACGAAGTGGTATCTCATAAATTGCAAAATTTAGATGCTCAAAACTATTAACTAATAAATGCATGATAAAGTAATTTGTACTTAAATCAACTCATCGATATGTACTCCCAGATGAAAAGCACTAGAGACACAGAAGATTTCTGGTTTAATAACTATTAACTTTAGTAGTATTTCCCAACAACAAACTAACCTATAACTTTAGTAATATTTTCCAACAACAAAATACATAACCTGTACATTATGTATTCTGTAAAGGGCTTAATTTAATATTTTAAAAGGTAATGCATATCATGACAAGAATCACATAACAGCAGGTAATTCTGTTCCAGCTAAAGACTACAAATGTACAAATCAAGTATAAAGAACATGCTGTTGGTAAATATTCCGCTAATTTTGCAACAATTTACAAGAGCAGTGTATGCGTACCTCCTGTATACGTCCAGAGCACGATATTATCTAACAGCCTAGTCTAAGAGGATTCTAAGACAACTCCACAAACTGTACAAGGCCACATGCAAGCAGAAAACCTGCAAGGTATTGTATGCTCAGCCACAATAGAAGGAAATGAATTGAGCAAGACTGCACCATGAGTTCAAACCTGACTCTCAATTAGAGCTGTAAGTGGCAAATAATCAAAAAGGTCGGTGAAATGCTTCCAGACATTAGCATTTCCATATTTTCTCAAGCATTCATCATAAAATCCATACCTGAAAGAAAAACCATTAAGTTACTTCAATATCACTTGATTGGCTTTTGATATAACTGAATGCACGACACCAAAATACCAGCAATACTTAACCCTCCATCTTAACACTGAAAAGGGAGAAATAATCAAATTCCTCTTTTACTTATGTGATAAAAAAGGTATCAACACTAAATTGTGTGATTAATTGATTTTAGGATACATGTTTCCATCCGCAAATTAGGGTATAGCTTTGCTACATATCTCATCTTAACTCTAATGTTTCTCTTGTGTGGGCAAGTATGCATATACACACATACATGTAGAGAGAGAGAGAGAGTATCCAATTCTTGTTCATCTTTTTTATAGTAATATTATCGTAAAGCAAATCTCAAGAGACCATCATGTAATGAAAATAAAATGGCATTAGAACTAAAAAAAATAAAAAATAAAAATAAATAAAATTCCCTCGGACATAGTGTGTTTTGGAAGCACATTGTTAAGCAAGTCAGGGCAGGAATAATAATGCTTGCATGAGAGAGAGAAGACCTCGTCAACTCAATGGCTTGTTTGGTAAAGAGAAAATAAGGGAATCATATCCTCAATTTTTATGTAACAAAAAAAACTAATTTGTAAAACCCAGTATCTCATGGAATAAATGTGGCTTAATGTTTATTCTGTCTACCCGAATAAAGATAATTATGCACTTCCAAATTTAACTCCTTCTCCTTCCAAACAAGCCAGCAGCCACATCATGCTCTTGCATTTTACAAACAGCCCCTTACTCTGTAAACTAAATGAAATACATACAGGAGCAGTTGCTGGCACCCAAGTTTGTCATTAAATTTACCAATTTTTAGTGAAACTTATATTGCAATCAATGGAAAAAGTTGAAGAAATATTCTTACACTTGAGTTATCTGACGATCTCCATGATTTCCCTTAGGATTGTTATTCTATCTCTATAACGAACTTTCAAGCGACTAGAGGCTGACAGTTCTCTACTGATAGTAACCACGATCTGCACATATAAAACTACAAATCAATGAAAAATCTGATATATATCTAAAAATAAAAAAAGAGCATGAATATATAAGGTTTCTCACAACAGTTTAGAAGGAATACATTGCAAAGAGAACATAAAGCTAATCAAATTGGGAAAGAAACTGGTTCCAAATTTTTAGTGCAAGATTATAGTTTTCTTGACTCACATTACAGTAGTCACACTTTGGAGCCTATCTGATTAACCTTCCATTGGGAAGATATAATAACAATGTGGAAACACTTTGCTCACTTATGTTGAAAAATTCTGTTGAGTTACAAAATTGAGCAGAAACAGTCCTTGGTCAGAGAACTTAAGACGATCCACATTTCATCCACTTCCTTCATTTTTGTTAGATACAATATCATCTCAAGAACATTACTTTTCTCCACCTTGAAAATCACTTTCATCCTACAAATGTTTCAGAATCAACTTCCTTCACTTGGAGCCAACTTATTGAAGCAAGCAAATGATTTTCTCTTTTGTGTTTACAGCACACACATGCTTTGATCTCCAACATTCATTGCACATTAAATTCTAAAATGCCATTGGTTGCAACCAGAATCAGAGTCTCTATGATAATCTCTCAGTACAAATTTAAAGTGTGATCTGACCTAAAATTAGAAACAAAAGGCTGTGCAGCGGAAACCGGATTGGATCAAGGCCAAAATTGCAAATCCGACACAAACAAACAATATATTTGGCCGCTGTGGACATATAATAAATGAATATAAAATATGTAGTACATGGATTCTTGTTTGGTGCTTGACATGGATACCCAGAGGTCAAGAGTTTGTGCAAGAGGAAGGCTACAATGTTCTCTCCTCCTCTCTCTCTCTCTCTCTCTCTTGGATCAAGGCCAAAATTGCAAATCCGACCAAAACAAACAATATATTTGGCCCCTGTGGGACAATATAATAAATGAAATATAAATATGTAGTAATGGATCTTGTTTGGTGCTTGCCATGGATACCCAGGTCAGATTTGTGCAATAGAGGATAGGCTACATGGTTCTCTCTATGTATCTACGTGTCCCATTTTAAACTATTTGTGTTGATATATGAATTGTCAATACTGTTAAAGAAGCATATCACTAACCATTCCAATTAACTATTATGATTCACATCCACCACTCCATTCCAATTAAATACACCATTGACAAGCTTTCATCTAGTAATAAAGCACACCAACGCACTCCTTGACACCATATTACCCACCTAAAACTTCTTTCGTTTGAAAAAGCAAATAACTCGGGCATATCCTACTACCTTACTGACATCGTAATAAAACCCAACAAAATAACGAAAAAACTTAATACGTTAAAATGACATGAAAATGCCCGGTAACTGACCCACATGTCGCCCATAAGAGAATTGGTGTCAGGGGCGTTGCCTCCGATGCGAAAAAGTTCAACAAGATCGTGGAACTGTCCGTGAATGTCGCCGCAGACGGTGACCGGACACTTGACGGGCTGCACGTTCCATTCCTCCACCAGAATCGCTCGCGCTTGCTCGCATAGGGTCTTCACCTCCGCTCGATAAAGGCTTGCACTGCAAAAGTGCTCGATCTGACGGTCCAGATCGGCCTGCGACGGCATGGTTTCTCGGATTTGGTTGGACGGGTGTTATCGATGTTCTTCTTTGATCGAACTGTGAGCGTGAGTAGGCGAAGGAACAGTGAGATTCAGTCATGGTGGATTTAGGGTAGGTTTGGAGAAGAAATAAATAGAGAGAGAAAGCGGGATGGGTTTGGCCCTGGAGCTCAGTTGTATTGTTTGTTTTTTGTTGTTGCAGTTAGGCATTATTTTGTTATCAGAATGGAGGATTTTATGGTGGCCCCTCAACTTTTCTATATTTTATTGCTTCTTCTATTTTTTTTATTTGTACTTTATACCCAAACAAGTATTTTTATGAAGTATTGAACATGTAAAAATCTGAGGAGTGGACATAAACCTCTTGACAGGTAAAAGAAAAGGTTAGAGGGCTGTCTCAGTATAAAAAAATAAAAAGTACAATCATGTGGACAAGTGCGCTAAGACAAGAGCGAAGGTGGTGCGCTGATTACCCAGCGTGCGCCTACAGCAACTCATACACAACGCCACTCACAGTCACATCTAGTCTCAACTACTACAACAAACTCACTTCCAATCATCCAACCTTCATCTCACCGCGCTCTTTCGTCTCCATCATGAATACAACAGCACTTACCCACCTGAACAACACATCTGGATTCCATTTTCAAGCAAAAACGGGTCCTCCGATCCCAAGTCCGTCAGACCCTCAATCTATGGACCCTTCTCTTCGATCCCATGAAGGTCAGCTCATTTTCAACCTCATCGTAATGCTATATTTTCGTAGTTTAAATTAGCTGTTGGATTTTTTATATGTTTGGATTGATGTTGTTTTTGTTTCCAATAATGCAATTACATTGTTCTGGAAGCTCCGTGGTTTAAGTCTTGTCAGAGATTATGTGCCTATATAAGTTGCACTGCTTTGAGAGAAGTTAGCACTTCTAAATTGTTGTCTGAATTTTGCAAACTCCACCTAAAGGTCTGTTTTTTTGTTACTGTCATATACTTGTATCATTGAGATCTAATGGTTGTGAAATATGACTTGGGAATTGATTTTTGTAAAGAGGGAATGACTATAATCAATTTGTATGATTTGAATTCAGAATTTGATGTTGATCGATTACATTTTTAATCAATATTTGTTTTGTCATAAAGATGTTTTCTGCTTAGTACTTGTTACATGATATCTTTATCTTTTCGTTTCATTTGGGAATTCTTGTGATATAATTTTAAACTTGTTTAGATGGCGATGTGGAATGGTGAAGAACTTTATGTTCCACGTGTGGAGGACAAGAACTGTAACATGCGAAGTGTTCAACATCTCAAGTGTTGATGATCTAATTGCCAACTCCATGAATATTTTAGAGCCAGCACCTGTGGACGCTGATGGAAATGAGCGAGAGGATGGTACATTGTTCTTCAAAATGTTGCATTGCTATATACTTTGTATTACGCGCATTCATAGAAAAAAAGTTGAAAGAAATAGATTTGATTAATGCTATAGAATTTTTGTTCTACTGTGCTTTGAGAAACTCATAATCCCCGATAATGTCCATTCACCCAAATATAAACTAAATTTATGTGTTTATTCCTTCTCTTATGAAAACATTTGTATGCTAGTGTTGAATTTTCATATTCTAAATATGCACTAATAACCATAGGCAAATACATTCTATCTCAATTTTCTTTGTGTTTAAACTGATATAATTATAAAGATCTCCCCTATTGCAGTGTTGCAGGCAAATGAGCCAGTGGATTTACTCCTCTTACCTGGTATTCTGTCATCTTTCCTCTTCTGTTAATATCATGTAGATTTTATAAATGAAACTGCAGTGAGTCGTATTCATCTGGTAATTTTCCAGCTGCGTTTGACAGATCTGGGAGACGCATGGGCCGTGGTGGAGGGTAAGGTTCTTGCTCATGCCTTGCAAAAACTTCTAACCTTTGTGGTATTGTAATTTGAGTTAGAGAAGCACAGACATGCTTCACTATATGCATGTAAGCCTGCTTACATCAATATTAAACCTTTAATCCTGCTTTAAGCCCACCTTCACAAGCCTGGTTGCCTCTCAGTGCTCTATGGCTGCTTGTTTAAAAATTTAGAATGAGGAAACTTCTATTGGTTGCTGAGCCTGTTGTTGAGAGAGAATATTCAGATTTCTCAATCTAATATACAAAAGCTGTAACTTTTAGTCTTCAAAACTTCCATATCAGTTCTGAACATAGTTGTTGCGCCCAAAAATCTTGCTGAACCCACTCTTGTAATACTAGAATTGTAACGATAATTTAAACTCTGTTTACCTCAATAGTTAATGAGGCTCAATTTTTTTTTTTTTTTTTTTTTTTTTTTTTTTTTTTTTTGCTTTTTCTTCGTCTAGCTTTAGCTTGATTAAATTCTTAACTTACTATTGATAATTGTAGTTGTGCTTTAATTTATCCATTGTTGTTACTAACATTATGTCTTAAAACTCTGAAGTTATTATGATACCTTCCTGAAGAAATACCAGGAGCTGGCAAAGAGAGAGTGGAGGCAGCCCCTCTTTGGTGTGGATTGCTTCTGTTTCATTTATAATCATAAAAACGAAAAGCAATGCCTGAGATCAAATAACCTGATTACATTATTTATGTTTGTACTTTGATTTTGCAGTTGCACTGTCATACTCTTTGCAGATCATGGATGAAGGAATTATACCAGTCACTCAACTGATGTACCAGTGGATGCTCTTGTATCCCCGTCGGGTGTAATTCCCATTAGCCAGGCTGCCTTTGACAGGTGCACCAAATGACTCTTTTCTTTGTGAGTTTTAATTCCTTCTTCTCTTTAACTAATTTAACATCTACAGAATGAAACTTTAACACGGGACTTGGAATCAAACCTAAACGCTCTCTTCAATGAAGGAAGGCTCCGACATGCCACTGCCAAGAGGCCATAGCTGAGCGTCCACTGTTATGGCTTTTGAGTTTTGTAATGGTTCAGATATTTGTTTTTGTACTCCATTGAGTGAAACTAACAGCTGTGAGATATTAGAATAATGATTGGAAAGAAAGGGTCCATGCCAACTGCCAGGTTGTTTTTTTGTTTGGCAAAATGTTGTCATTCTTTTAACTCTCAATCATTCACATGTTCCACCAGGGTTGCACCATTTTTGTTCTTTTTTTTTTTTTTTTTAATGAATAACATTACATCAGTTATGAAGTCAACCCATGTTTTTATGATACATTCAACTACATTTGCAATTCTTAATGGAGGATCTCTGTATAATGGTTCTTGAAAGTTACAATGATTATCCAAAATGCGGCTAGCCAATGTAGAGCTATATCTCCTGGCCCTTGGTGCTATCTGAGAGTCAAAGCTGGTGAAAAATTTAGCTGCTGACGATCAATGGACTTGGTCATCAAACTACTCCCTACAGCTCTTGACGATTAGTAGACTTGATCATTAAAGTATTCTTTGCAGCTGCTGACGATTGCTGTTGTTGGAGACTTGGTCACTGATGTCTTGTACGACTTTAATCCTCCTTCCTAAATTGTCATGAACTTAATTTGGATTAGTTTTAGAACCAACGCCACACACTTTTTTGAATAAATACCTAAGGGAAAAAAAAATGGTTGGTTTCCGAACAAGTTAGGTTTATCTGCTTCCATTGGCTTGTGTCACAAGACTTCGAAGAACGTCTGCTCCAGATTCATGGTTGTCCTCACGAAAGTATCAGGAGATATGAATGGTCATTTGATCAATTTCTTATGTAACTGATCCCACGACTAATTCTTAAATAAGCTAACACGTATGCCAAGTCATTCACAACTTCTACGAAAGGAAAAGACCACGTTCCAATTTCCATGACTTGCTCGCAGAGTTGCATCTTAGAATGCTTCATTCACATATCCTTACATATTGCAGCTTAATTCCCCACATTTTCAACCTCTATAATTATATTAGAAACCCCCAATTTCAACAATCTACACTTAGATGGGCTTGATTCTTCTCTTAACCAATTAAATTCTATAGACCATGTCAACTGTGGAAAACAAAATAATCATTATGGTCTTTATCTTCAGCCAGGGACCATCTGTTAAGTCTACAGATTTTAATCTTTTATAGTGCCAAACCAAAGTCAAAACCACTAATCTCAACCGCAAGTTTCCTTTGCATATTTTACTAAATACAAAGTAACATGTTCAAATTTTTTCAGTACTAATAGGATATATAAGGATCCATGATCTTCCATCCATCACAACATCCTGGAATTATCTTACTTAAACTATCTGGCCATTTTGTTCAACATACACCACCATATGTTTTCTTTATCAGCTCACCCTTCCAACTCTTAGTGTTGCCTAATAGTGTTATTCATTCTCCCTCTTCCTTCACGTTCGGCCGCTCCTGATCCTTTACAGGACTTCTGTGTTGCAGACTTGAATTCCTCCGTATCAGTTAATGGCTTCCCCTGCAAACCTGCTGAACAAGTATTTCGGATGATTTTTTTCTTCTGGGCTGCGCAAGAGGAAACACATCAAATATCTTCGGAGCGACAGTGACTTCAGCTAATGTTTTCACGTTTCCAGGGCTCAACACGACTGGGGCTTTCACGAACCGAGTAGACTTTGCCCTCGGTGGAATCAACCCCCTCATTCACACCCTCGTGCATCTGAGACAGGTGTTGTGATTGTAGGAAAGCTGCTGGTAGGATTTGTAACAGGTGACAACGTGTTTCACTCAAAGGTTTTGAGTCCTGGGAGATGTTTGTGATTCCAGAGGACTGGTTCACTTCCAACTAAACGTCGGGAAGGAAGGCTCTTGCTTTTACATCTTTCAACAGTCACTTCCCTGGTGTTGTGATGTCTTCCACAAGTCTCTTCGGTTCAACGCCGTCAATTCCTAATGCGGTTTGACCAAGCCTTCCAGTGGGAGATATGTAATCAATGGCATCAATCCAGTTTGGTTCTTACCATTTCTCAACTTCATGCATTTTCAAGATTGTTTCATGTTAATTTGCTTCTTCACCATCCTTCAACCTCTCAGAGTGATGGATCTTTTATTGTTTATAATAAAACATTGCGACTGCAGTAGTCTGTCAACGTATGTATGTGTACTGAACAGTGAATAAGAAGAATAAGATTAATAAAGCTTTTGTTAATCTCATCGAAGAGGTTAGTATCATTAGCTCAATTGAAATTCTATTGTTTTCCCCCCTTTTAAGTGCCAGTTTGCTCATTTAAGCTATAATACGAACACACAGCCAATCTACTTGTTATGGCAATGACTTGATTCAAAGATACTATCATACAGATTTTTTTATACACTGGTAAAATAACCCCACATAAATTATTTTTTTATTTTTTCGCAAGACAAGTAATTTCTTCAACAAACACAATCTTTCAGATACTGTTCCAACGAGATTCAGATAAGTTTTGCTTAAGAACTGATTATAGAGTACAATCGTATCCAGTCAATAATAGGGCTCTCATCAGAACATTATTTTTACCCACATCTGAGATCTAACCAACTGATATTTCTCTCTCACTAGAAGGAGAAAAATCCTATCCTTCCAAGGTTGTTTTTTCAATTCTTAGAAATTTTATAACATTGCAGTAGTATCAAAGAATCACACAAGAAGACCATTTCTCAGTAACTACCAATTCTTCACGCGATTAGCTGAAAACTACTTCATATGAATCATTTGATTGAATGACTAAACGTCTACTAAATTAAGCATAAATACTTGGTTATTCTATGTGATGTTCACTGGAATTGATTTGTTCTTGAAACAGTCAACAAACATCTAAATTGCACTCTTAGTTCATTTCTATTTGCCAGAAAGGTTTGGTAAGAAAGTACTAAATTCAAATTCCAGTACGGCAGTATCAATGATCACCATTAACCTCAAACATCAAACAATTTCACATTATTGGAGCAACTGCTTTTAATAAAGAAATTATTAAGCAATCAGTCAGCATCAATAGGCTTACATCTTTTGAATGAAATCCCTCAACGGTAGGATTCAGGCTCACCCTCGAATTGACGGCTTCTAACTTCATTGATAGGAACTACAAGAGTGAAAAAATAATTAAATTATTGTTTACCAGCTAAAGAAGAAAATGTCATATGGCTACAGACACATAAGATGGGATATCTACACCTCAACCTGCTGCTGAAGTGACTGGATGTAGTTAATTATCTCATCAAGGACAAGTGCTTTTCCAATAACCTGATTGTGAGCAACCATTTATTAATAGATGATTACCAATCAAATGAGATTGCAGATTGGACTTATTTAAAATGATGACAAAAAACTTACAGTGAATTCATATAATTTCTTCCTAAGAATAAGTTGAGACTAGCCAAAAAACGGATATGTAAGTAGTTAGACAACTGAAGATACCTTGTTACATCCGGGGCCAAATCCTGGAGAATCTTCATCCTCTCACTAATTTTTCTCTCCTAGCCTGCAGAAAGGTAAGTACAATAGTGCTTATAGAATATAACTCATGAGGCATTATAGAGGCAAGATACAAAATAAAATTCTTAATATTGGCTTCAGGCGAAGGAACCCATCACCAGATTCCACTGCAATATTGATGCTCTTATTTAAAAAAACAATATTGCAAAGAAACTCGCTACTTTGAAGCATAATATGTTTAATGAGTTTAAAAGTGTTTTTTAAACATTAATTTCTCATGACAACTTCTGCCTTCAGTAACAAAAACGATATTCCTGAGGCTTATATGCCTTATTTGTTGGTTATTGGAGCATGCAAATGATGGTTACACGGGAGAAAAAAGGAAGGAAGAGATAAGAGATGAAGACCTGTATTCAATATATGCATTCACCAAGACACAAGTTTATACATGTAATCCTACTGTTGTACCCAACATAAAACATATTCTATCCCAAATACATCTTAACCATACATCTTTAGCAACTTACTTACTATCACATTAACTTGATATAAAGAGGGCAGCCGAATGTATGCTGAATTCACCAACAATCACTTCAGCATGCCTCACAAACCAGCTACGGTGAACTGCTCCCGGCCAACTTATACCACTTCAAATTCTGCCCTTTTGCCGTTAGTTTCCAGCTTCAGTCTAATAATCAAAATATTTGTTTCAGGCAAAATATCATTACTTTGAACACTCTTTCTTGATATTTTTGCTTGAACACCAAGTTTAGTTTAAGATCTTCAAACTTGGACTTACATAAAGCCTTTGTAAAGATGTCAGCCAATTGAACTTCTCCCCTGCAGTGAGTCAATCTGATTTCCCTGCATTGCTCACCTCCCTCACTGTATGAAAACTTAATGTTTATGTGCTTAGTTCGACCATGCATGACCGGATTCTTTGCCATAACAACAGCCATTGATTATCACAAAAATTTCAGTAGGCTCACTTTGTTTTACCTCCATATCATTTAGCATATTCCTCACCATATGGCTTGATTTACTGCAACAACAGCTAATATGTATCCACTTCTGTAGTGGATTGAGCCACTGTTCTTGCTTCTTGGAAGACCAGCAAAAGCTCCACAATTCAGCAGGAAAACATACCCTGATGTGCTTCGCATGTCATCACAAGAGCCTCCCCACACTGTCTCATAGCCCACCAATCTGAAGTTTTTAGACTTCCTGAACCAGATTCCATGATCTTTGGTCCTCTGATAAACTTCATACTCTCTTGCTGCTTTAAGATGCTCCTCACTTGGTTTGCTCATAAATCTTGATGGAGACTAGTGGCAAACATTAGATCAGCCTTATTGTTGTTAAATACAGCAAACTCCCAATCAACCTCTATAATTAGTTTCATCCACCGGGGTTGCTCCATCCTCTTTACACAACCTTTGATTTTGCACCAAAGGTGT